CCTAGTTGATCTTCTTAGTTCGACTAGTGGCTCTTGAAGGGGCTGCTCCCCATGTTTATCATCACTGCTGGCATCTTCATTAGGAGCATTATCATCATTTTTCGAGTTCACATCTTATTGTTGCGCATCTCCCCCATTATTTCTATGCACCAAGGGAGGAGAAATTGGATCCAAGTTCATAAGTTCACCATCATTTGCTTGAGGCATTTCAATTTTCTCAAAGTTTTCAATTGTTTGGTATTTAGGAAAGACCACATCTATACTTTTGATTATCTTCTTTCCAATTGGATCTCATAACTTGTAACCAAACTTTTCATCTGCATAACCTAAGAAAATACATTGCTCGGTTTTGTCATTAAGCTTGGAATGCTCATCCTTGGGTATATGTACAAAAGCCTTACAACCAAATAACCAAAATGATGAGCATTCCAAGGGAACTACATGAGACAAATTAATCAAGTACACAATTGTATGCATAGTTTATTCCCAATAGCATCTTGACAACTTTGCTTGTGACAGTATGCATCTAATTCTCTCTAAAATGGTGTAGTTCTTTTCTCAGTTACACCATTTTGTTGTGGGGTCTTAGGGATTAACTGTTCATGCTGAATTCTACGGTTTTCACAATAATTTTGAAATGGACTTTCATACTCACCACCATTGTTAGTACGAATACACTTAAGAGGTTTACCTGTTTTTCTTTCAACTATAGTATTTAAAACTTTAAAGACATCAAGCGCTTGATCTTTAGATTTCAAAGCATAAGCCCATGCTTTTCTACTAATATTGTCTATAAAAGTAACAAGGTAAGATGCACCACTAAGAGATTTAACTTTCATAAGCCTATAAACATCAGAATGAATTAATTTTTATAATAAATTTTCTTTTATGAGGAGAACTTTGAAATGAGACTCTATTTTGTTTACCAACTAAGCTATGAATGCATGTAATAAAATGCATACCTTTTTATTCTGTTTAACAATTTTTTTCTTAGCAAGAATTTGCATTCATTTTTCGCTCATATGGCCCAATTGTCTTTGCCATAATTCTGTGAAAACTTCCTTCTCTATAGTGTTTACATCACCTTTGCACGCGCGTCCCTGTGTACGATAAAGAGTGCAATACCTCTTGCCTTTTTCTACCACTAAAGACCCCTTGGATAGTCTCCATTTTTTATTGCCAAATTGGTTATTAAAACTTTCTTCATATAACTTTCTAGCTAAAATCAAATTTAGGTAGAGGTCTAAAACATGTCTGACATCCTTGAGAACTAATTTGCAATCTACATCAGTCTCAAGATAAATATCACCCATCTCTATAATTCTGGAAGTTCCACTATTTCCCATTCTCACAATATCAAAATCACTTGTACTACAAGAGATAAAATATTCCTTGTGAGGGGTATCATGATAGAAAGCACCTGCATTAATAATCCAATCTGTGTCATGATATGATAAATTAATGCAAGACTCTTTACAACCTGTGAGAACAATGATATCTCCAATTTTAACTGTAGTGGTGTATTTTTCTTCATTCTTTTCATTTTTTTTCCTTTCTTATTGTCTCTCTTGAGTTTCCGACACTCACTCCTGTAATGACCTTGTTTCTTGCAATGAAAGCATGTAATATTTTTCCTTGTTTTGGATTTGCCTCTAGACAAGTGTTGTCAACGGTCCATGTCTAGTTCGGAACAGGGTAGAATTGTTCTAAATCGATTGTTAAAACCAATAGTACCATAACTGAACCAAACCTGGTCGGTTCTCTTATTTCAAAACTGGTACCGAACCATTTAGTAATCGGGACAATCGGATCTAACCCGATTGGACCCGATTAAACAAAAAAAAACTAGTAATACTTCAAAGACCTATATTTTTTTATAAGAAAAAATATTTTATTCAATAACCTATTATTAGAAAACTTGATAAATAAGAAAATGAAAAGGGTTTTATGTTCTAAACCTGCCTAAAATTACAATGTTAAATATGTAAAATACTTATATTACATGTAAATAACAAAATATATAAAATATAATAGGTATATATAATCGGTTTGGGGCAGCCAAAATCGGTCCCAAACTGATAATAATTGGGACAGAAAAATTAAAATTAGAATCGATCCATCGGAATGGTTCATAGGACCAAAAACCATTATAAACTGTTTGGGTCTGTTGGGTAGACCTGACCCATTGATAGACCTACTCTAAACTTGTCACGACTATGTAAACCTTTGATTTGGCTTCTACCTCAGCTTTGTATAAGAAGAGCATATGGCTTTGGGTCCAATGATTTTCTTCTAATTTCCTCATTGAGAAAATATCTTCTTATCATAATTGTTGTTATTACTCTATCAGGTATAAAGTTACTGAGAGATACTACAAGTGTCTCTCAACTTTTCGGTAATGAGCTAAGTAATAATAGAGCTTGAAGCTCATCATCCAACACCAACTTCATTGAAGCTAATTGGTTTACAATGCCTTGTATTTGATTCAAGTGCTTGGTAATGGTGGTGCCTTCCTTGTACTTCAAATTTACAAGCTTCCTAATTAAGAAAGCCTTATTGTCGAAGGTTTTCTTCTCATATAATTCTTCTAACTTGTTCCAAAGTGAAATAATTGAGGTTTCATTTGCTACAAGAAGATAAACATTGCCATACAACCATTGTCTAATAAAAGCAACTACTTTTAAGTTAAGGAGTTTCCTGTTCTCGTTGGACATATCTTATGGCTTGCCATTATCACCTCTCATAGGTGCATACAAGTATTTAGACAGCAATAAATCATTCATTTTTGGTTTCTAGAGAAACAAATTCCTTTCACTTAAAATTTTTTTTCTAACCGAACTCCTTTCATGATTTACATAAGAACCAAGAGCTTTGATAGTAGTTTGTTAGGTCCTGAAAACACAATCCTATTGCTTGTAGTTGATTATTTCACGTAGAGATTTCTTAATAGTTGACTACTATTAGTATAATGTTCCTAGTGGTTGACTACTTGACAAAAAGATTTATTAGTAGTCAACTACCGCTTCAATCGAACACAAAATAACAACAACAATAAGTTAAAAAATAATAGAAAAACATCAAAGCAACAACAGATCAACACACAACACCAATTTTTAATGTGTAAAACCTCTCCGATGTGAAGAGGAAAATCCACGGGGCACTAACCTAGAAAAATTTTCCACTATAATAACAATAATGAGATTACAATGTATTCCTCTCTAGCAATAACTAGAGGATGATATCATAAACAGAAACCCTCCTAGCTCAGCTCAAATCCTCACTAAAAATGGTGGTTTACAACAGTAAAACAAGAATAATCTTTTCACCTAATAAATGAGAGAATAAATACTCTTAAAAAACCTTCTTGGAGATGAATGATAGCACAAACCTTGTTGTGGATATGGCCTTCACAATAGCTTCTTTTTGCTAGAACCCTTCTAAAAAATGCCTTAGCCTCAAGAGCCCAAAAGTCACCATACGAATGAGTGTGTTGGATGATAGAATGGGAGTATTTCCTTATCCCCTTCTTTCCTTGTCTTTTCTTAAGGTGAGTGGGCCCTGACTCATAAGGAGGGAACCCAACACATACGACCATCCAATGCTCGGCTTATGTTGATGTATTGACACTACTTGCCTTTCTCATTTAAAATAAGAAAGGATTTATCTCGTAAAAGCATAAAAAAATGAATTGCAGCATTTGGGAATTTTTCTTTTCCCATGATCCATTAACAAATATTTTAATATATGACTGGTCAATCCATTTTGTATGGTATGAATTGCTATTCACTATTATCTTAGGGGGTGTGTTACAATATGAATGTTTTTTTTTCACTTGTTTTTGGAATCACCACATAAAAGGAAAAAAACAAATTGGTTTTGTTTCAAAAAATAGTACATACTTTTGGAACCAACAAAATATTGGTTTTTAAAATAAAGACAATTTTTAGTATAGAAATTATATGATTTATGGAACATGAAGTTGAATAAACAGATGAAAACATGTTTTTGAAAGAAAATTCAAGAACATGTTCTTAGTTTCAGTTATAAAAACAGGAAACAAACATACAACCAAGAACATGTTTTTTGTGTTTTCATTTTGAGAGAATTTGTTTTCAAACCAGATGTTTTGATTTGTTTTTGGAACCAAGAATAAGAAAAACAATTTATGTTGTAGAACGCCTCCTTAGCATATCCGTTTGTACTGGTTGGAGTGGTTGGGAGAAATGAGTATTCTCTCCTGATTATCTATACTTAGTTTGGACTTTGCCTTATAGTATTACACACACAATATAGAGGAGTGAGGTGGGGCTAGAGAAGGGTGCACATAAGACCCCTTGATCATGGAGCAGTCTAGATCTCTTACCCACAACAACCCTATCTATAGGACACCATGGCCATACATCAGGAACATCTCTCCTTGAATGACAACATAGAAACCAACTGAGCGGTTCAAAGCTCGCAAGTCCGAACTCGACTACAAGCTAAGTTTTGATTCAGTACATTTTGAGCAAATGGCTGCACATTTTGGAGGGATATCTCATTTTTTCTTGTTACGTACTCCATCTTGCATAGCATGGATTTTCCTGTGTGAACAATAATTATGTAGTATGTAGATGCTTCTAAGAAATGCTAAGTGGATATCAATGCCAAAAGTATTTTATTTCCAATTCTACAGAAACGCTAATGTAGCAATTTTTTTGGTAAGAAAAAGGAGAAAGAGAGAAACAAACAAAAGAGAAATAAACAAAAGGAAATCACCTTTAGCAGCAATAGCATGAGAAGCCAACGGTGATGTAGCAAATTGGTGGATTCAAATATCTTCTGGTCTTTCTTTCACTGGTTAAACAGTCTGAATTTTGATTAAGAACAGTTTGAGGCCTGTTTATATCATCCTGCTGAGTGGTGTTGATAGTCATGAATCACGAAGTGATGTAAATGATGATATATACTAGCAATTGGACATGGATTCTACCAAAGCCAAATCTAATTCATCATGCCTATGGCTTTTGTTGGATTTGTCCGACTGTTAGTGAATAGTGATGATCTACCTTTTCTTTTACCTGTGAAACTACAGATTTTAGGAGTGGGATACAAGTAGCAACTTGAGTGTAAGATTGAAGAAAAGAAAGAAAAGAAGATATCAGATTAGGATGTAGCAATTGACTGTTAGTGAATCACCTTGTTTGGAGTATTTTGTCAACCTTCAAAAAACATACAACAGGAACATCTCTTACAAGAATTGTAACAAAATATCTTTGCAATACAATAAAATCAAACTGTGCCTCCATCATCAAAATTTATTTCCAAATTCTGTGTTATCTCTCTCAGTTCATCTAATTCCTTCTGAATATTATTTATTCTATTGTGAATATATGATGAGAAGTTGTTTCTTGCCAGGTCCCCAGGATAAGTCTTCATCAAAGATTTCACTCCTCTCTGTTTTGGCACCACTTTTACCTTGGGACACTCTTTAACAGTCAATGATTCAAGCGAAGTAGGCAATGCCTCCCTTGGAAGGGATTCAAGATCTGAACAATGTTCAATCCTCAAGTTTTGCAAGCACATAAGATACTTGAGGTCTGGAAGATGCCTAAGTTTGGGACAAGAAATCACATCAAGTTCACGTAGGATAGGGAATTCACCCTGCTCAAAATCATCCCATTTCTCCAACTTACTCATGCCTTCAAACTCTAGTTTCTCCAGTGACAAAAATCCCTTTACAGAATCCCCTCGGTAGAACTCATAGCCCACATGTTTCACTTCTTCTAAACTACTTATCTTGAGAAACCTGAGGTGAGGTAACTGGCCTAGTGGTGGGAGGAATTGACACTTTCTACAGCATTTCAAGGAAATAGATATAAGATTCGAGTATAATGGATTGCCCAACCAAGAAGGGAACAACAAACCATCATATGATACTATTTCTAATTCCTTGAGGTTCTCGTGTGGTCGAAGGCCTTCCAAGACATCCTCAAGTCCATATTGTTTTGATTCCCCATTCCATTGCAGTATCAATTTGTTCAGATGTTGCTTGTTCTGTAGCATGGCCTCTTCAGCCTCTTCAAGCGAATGCACATTCTCGAGCTGAAAAATACCAAGTTCTCCCCGAAGCTCAGTCAGTTTCTTTAGCTCTCCAACACGATATCCCGTCTCCCTACTAGCAAAGAAAAATGGTAACGTTTGAAGGCAAGTTAGTTCCCCAATTTTTTCTGGCATCTTAGTCAACTTATGAGAATAAGATGTATCTATTTGTAAATGTCGTAAGTTAACTGGACTGTTTACATGAATTGAAAACTTGCACAGGCTATAGCAACGAAGGAGTCTCAGTGTTTGGAGCTCATGAAAATCTCCATCCAGCCATCCAATGCTACTCTCAGAAAGGTCAAGATAACATAAAAACCTCAATCCTCCAGTTGCAAATGTAAATTTTCTATCCAACTTGGTGTGACTCAGGTCCAACACACGCAAGTATAGATAATTTGGGGACAGCTTGTCTGGGAAGTAAGCACCCTGATTGCCTCTCAGAAATAGCAAACTACGTAAGCCACTACACGATAAACCTAAGGCATCAAAAGTACTATCAGAAAAATGGTCACAAAGCAAAGACAAGTGCCTTGTGTTTTCAGACAAACTACTAAAGTCTTCCTTCAACATAATGCGGTCATTCTCCCAAAGGGACAGAACCAGGTCATGGATACGGGCATTCATTTTGTACCTTGTATCACTACAGGGAATTTCTTCGAATAACTGAAAGCCATCAGTTTGAGCTTCACATTCATCTTTAACTTTTACTTTCAGGAAGGACCTTGAAAGTAGGTAATCAAAGTAGCTAGAACCTATGTCTTCCATCCTTCTCCCCCTTTCAGGCAAAACATAACCCTGTGCCATCCATTGCTGGACCAATTTATCCTTCTCAAAAGGGTAATCCTTGGGAAATACAGAGCAATAAGCAATACATTGCTGAAGATGCAAGGGAAGATGGTGGTAAGTCTCATTCCATGAATCCTCCCGTTTGCCATCCAATAATCTATACAACCTCCCATAATCAGTCTTCAAAGTTTGCACATTCCAACTGTTTGAAACAACCTCAAAGCGCTCATTAGTAGTTAAGAGAACCTTGCTTCCTGGAGCTCCAACAATTAAAACAGACTGTAAAGCTTCCCATACAGAGTAATTATCTTCACATATATTGGCTAGCACAAGAAAATATTTCTTGCTATGTAGAAGGTCCTGGATATTCATTTGAGACTGACGAGCAGACTGCAAAATACACCTTGTAACGTTTGTGAGGTCACAAATCTGATGCATGAAAACCCAAGCACTAAGATCAAAATGTGCCTTCACCCTTTCATGGTTGTAGGCCAACCAGGCAAGGTAAGTGTTCTCACTGCCAAGTATTCTGATTATACCCAAATTCCCTTTGTTGGCACTGGATTTGGGGTTTTCATTCGGCAATAACCATTCTGCAATTATACCCAAATTCCCTTTGTTAGCACTGGACTCGGAGTTCTCATTTGACAATAACCATTCCACAATCTTATCCCTCTCATGCATCAACTTGAAAGTATGGCATCCATCAAAACGGCATCTCTCCAATATCTCTCTCAATTCACCTAATGCTTCAGTAATCTTATCCATTAGGTAGTAATAGGATGATAAGAACTTGTCTATTAAAAGGTCCATAGGATCAATTTTCTGAAAGTGTTTCTCGCATGCGATTAGTGTGTTGAGTAAGTCATCTACACTGTACATAAGGCTCCTAAAATGGTTCCCAAGCAAAAGACAAACGGTGAAATTCTCTCTGAGCTCCTCTCTGGTCTCATCAACAAATTCCTGGACTTCCAAGAACTTCTTTTGCAGATCTTTAAGTTGCAGCAGGTTAACACCTGGCAATGATCCTTGCTCTTTCATTCCTATAGCAGAGGCAAGCTTAGACCCTACTACTTGCATAATGGCTTCAATGGTCTCCATCCCTTTCCCACTTTCTAAACAATTGAAATTATCCAACAACTGAAGATTGGGAAGATTTGAGAATCTTTTGAGCAAAAGATCTAATGCCTTGAATCTTGGGAATATTAATCTGCAAATTACACACCAAAAAGAAAAAGAACTAAGCAATATATCAAGCAGGTAATTTTAAGCGCAAAAAAGTATAAACCCTGATAAGAGATTAATGTGGGTCCAATATGCAATCTCTTGGGCATTTAAGAAAAATCCATACAGAAAAGAGAAATACATGTGGCTTAAAGAAAACTGGAAATTAAAATAATAAGTTTTTCAGCTTACGCATTAAGATGGTCAAAACAAAAGAGAAGGAAATAGCTCAATGAAAAGTAGAAAAAAAAAAAGAAAATATTCCAGCGTACACTAATGAATGATCAACAACTAAAGCTGGATTTGAGAGTCTTTTGAACGGAGGATCCAACCCCTGAATCTTTGGTATATTTGAGAAGGCAAAACCTAGCAGCCTGCAGTTTACACCCGAAAAATAGCATAAATTAAGCAATATATTATAACCTCTAACAGAAAACACTCAATCAGACATAAAGCAATGTATTATAAGTTCCAAATGAAAAGAAAAATCAAAAGATTTGAGAGAGGCTTATGATTGATTGCTTTGAAATGGTAAAACCTAACAACCTTCAAATTCACAACCCAAAAAGGGGAGAAAACCCTTTTCTGCAATGACAATGTATATGTAATCAAGACACTTCATCTTGAGAAGACCGGTGATGGTTGCAGAGAGAGGGGGGGGGGGGTCTGCAACACTCATACATTACGCAAGGGTAATTGCAAGAGCACTGTTTCAATTAAGAATCGACTGGTAAAAGAGTGCATAGTCTTTCTCTCAGCATCTATTGCAAGGATTGAACATACAGACAATAATGGAAACCATGAAAAAGAAGAGAAAGAAACAAATATGAAACCCTGAAATGAAAGCAAAATATAAACAAATACGGGTGTAATTGAAGAAATCTTACCAGGGGATGAGTTTGGCGCCTGAAGATAAGGCTAATAAAGGAGAAGAAATTTCCTTTGGTTCTCAATAAGATTTTCTTGTTGAAATTTATACTCATCACGCAGCCTGATACGTTCAGTTGGGATCAAATTTCTCTGCCCATTCGATACTCCTTGGTGTTACCGTGTCAGAATACAGAATAATAAACTTTTGATTCTGGAAACAAGAACAAAAATAACAACTCAAGGAACAGTCTAACAGACTCCTGCTTACTACACTAGTCCACTTGATAACATGATTCCAATTAATAACAGACATGACGCGAGCAGAATAACTACCCGCGGACCTCTCATGCTTTACAGTTTACATTTACGGCTGTCAATGGGTCTGACCCTATGGAACCGGACCGATTATTATATGTCAGAACCGGGTCCACCTTGTCCCAAACCAATTTGGACCCAACCTGACCCCTATATATGACGGGATCTGCTCCTCACAAATGGGCGCCTCACAGCCACATCCACCATGCATTGGAAACATCTCCCATGAATAATAACCAATAGGTACGGAAGATGTTCCCAATACATGATAGGATGTGCGTGTGAGGCGCCAGGTGTGAGTAACATATCCGATCTCCCTATATATATACATCAATACAGTTATTATTGTTTTTTATCAGTTTCTTTTTTAGCAGGGTTTTCGTTACATTTTAGGTTTTTATTACATTTTTTAGCAAGGGTATTATTAGCATATATATCAAAATCGGGTCCATCGGGTTGAACCTGACTATCCCAAGAATTGATCGGTTCGATTCTGAGTCCAAAATTACAAACCTTATAGGGTCTAGGTCGGTTTCAGATCCACAAGTTCTCATATCGGTTCTGGGACTGGTTCTACCTGGTTCCGACCCAGAACCGACCCATTGATAGCCCTATTTACACTAGATCAACACATGAATAGGACCCAGACCCATGCTAGGATCCTGATTTCTGGTACGAAAGTGTCATGCTTCGGGTCCAGAAGAATAGATTAATAGGGCTGTCAATGAGTCGGGTCTATTAGATAGAACCAAACCGATTATGTCGGTTTTGGTTTATGTGATTTTGTCCGGATTAATGATTGGATGGATTTTGTGAACTGCGCTCCTTACACCAACCTCACGACGACATCCTACTGTTTATTGGAAATATCTCTGGTGAAAAATAACAAACAACCTGTTGTGCAGCTATCCTGTTGTGTATTGGGAATATCTCCCATGAAAAATACCAAACAAGAATGGGAGATGTTCCTGTTGTGTGGTTGGAATATGTTGTGAGGGTGGCGTGAAGAGCGCTCCGTGAGGAGCAGATTCGGACTCTGATTATGTCAGTTTTGGTTGTGATTTTTTTTTCGATTAATAATTAGGTCAGAACCAATTTTTACGTATTTTTAACCAATTCAGACCCAAATTAGTTTAGTTAGTTAATAATATATAAAGGTTTCTTGATTTTCTTGTTATTTTGTCAGATTTTATGTTAAAAGGGTAAATTTCATAGATATGTTCTAAGACCATTTTGGTTAAAATAATTTATTATTTTAATGTAACTTTTATTAAGGTTACATTATCAAAAACTAATGTTTAAAGAATAGGTAATTATCCATATAAAGTATAATGAGGTCAGACTTGATTGTCACGATTTTAGTAATCAATTTGGGATTGGTACACGATACACCATACCCAATCCATTAACAACTCTAAGATCAAGTTGGAAGTAGGGATCACAATTTTCCTCGTAAAACCCGGGGCCCTACCTAGAATGAGTAGGTTTTCCTTAATCATAAATGGGGATGGGAAAAATATTTTTGCCTCAAACTGGGGACGGGGCGGGGACGAGGCTTGTATATAATTCTCAGAACCCAAATGACATACTAATAAAATATTCCTAGGTTTAGTATTAATTTCTAAAATACCTCTAAGTTATCCCAAATTTTTAAAACCTTAGGATCTCATAATTTCATTTTTTTTATAATACTCCCAAATTGCCATAATCCAATTTCTAAGGCTCCGTTTGGTTTGTGGGAAGATTTGGATGGATGGGATGGATTGGGATGAGAAAGTGTGAAATTTTTAGAACCCAATGACATACTAGTAAAATATTCCTAGGTTTAGTATTAATTTCTAAAATACCTCTAAGTTGTCCCAAATTTTTAAAACCTTAGGATCTCATAATTTCATTTTTTTATAATACTCCCAAATTGCCATAATCCAATTCCTAAGGCTCCGTTTGGTTTGTTGGAAGATTTGGATGGGTTGGGATGGGCTGTGATGAAGGAAGATAACTTGAGCTTCGGAGCACTCTCATCGGGTTCCTCCTCGGAGACTACTCGCTTTCTTCCCCATTTCAGGCACCTTTTGCTCTAGTCAGAGGCAAGAACGTTGACAGCTAGGATTGACCGGATTGCGCTCCATCAGGTTGGGATGAGAAAGTGTGAAATTTTCACTTTCCATTAATTGTGCAAGGGAAAATGGTGGGAAAATTACTTTTCCCATGTTTGTTTTGTGGGAAAATCATCAGAGTTGAACTAATTATTTTGCAACCTTCTATGTTTTTTTCTCTTAATTTGTAAAAATATCAATTTGTTGGAACGGTGAGAAACTTGGGTTGGATAAATTTTAACACAACCTGACATGACCTTGTTAAGATTTTTCGTAGGTTGGATCTAGCATGTTGGGCTTCAAGCAAGGTAAAAGATTGAGCCAAGCTCTAGTTGGGCTTCAAGCATGTTGGGGTGAAAGCTCATCTGAGCTCTGGTTGGGATTCAAGCAAGGTGAAGTTTCAGTTGAACTTTGGTTTGGGGTTAAGGTTTCAGTTAGCCTGAGCCACTTGTTATATGCACCCATCCAACTTAATTTATATGTAATTAACAAATCAGGAAAAGTGGGAAGCCTCTTAATTAGGAGTTTTATTAAACAATCCTATGAAAATCGAATTCCAAATTCAAAGCTCTCTAAGTAATAAGAATTTGATGGACAATAGATATTTTTATATGCATTAACCATGCACAACATAGAACAAGATTGGCTATGGTTACAATCAACTTAGAAGTTTGAGGCTCAATTGCTTCAAAAATACATCCCGAAACCTACTAAGAAGAGTACATCATCTTTCTTATTACTTAGAGTTTGTTGAATTCAAGAAATCAACATATAGTCCATGAGTTTGTTGCAAGTTTGTCATAGATTTCTACTACATTTGCAGCCTCCATTGATCTCTAGTGTCAAGTCTTCCTGTAACATAAGAAACATAGCAAACATATAAAGAGGTGATTATATTGCCATTAATTATCAAAATATCAAGAGATAGTTATGCTTGAATTCAGTAGGGGTGGCAACGAGCCGAGTTTTTCA